CTTCTGACCACTGCCTGCCTAATTTCATATTCTCGAGTTCCATTGCCAAACAACGAGGATGACTACTCCAAAAACATACGGTGAGTTCCAGCTATAAGTTTTCTGCAATCATAAGTTCATTTTAGATGGCACACACAATTATCTGGATTCATTCAGTTGTTCTGATCCGAGTGAGTGGCTAAAACTTCAACAGCATCAAGCACCCTGGAAGTGATTGACATACTGCAAGTTTTATTCTGGATGCTTTTGGATCATTACTACTCCTCACGAATGGCGTTATATATGTCGTCCACTGAATAATCTAATTTTCGAAAATAATCCAGGCGAGTTCAACTATTTTACCGGATGATTTTTTTGTAATTAACTTGTATATGTTTTCCAGTTGCTTTTGCCACACATTTGTGTCCCTAGGCTAAATGCAGTAACTTCTTATGGAATGTTTATAACACATCATATTCCTGCCTAAAGTTTCACAAGCAGTCTAAACTTTAAAATTATTTTCTGGTCATGTTCATTATTTTTAAATCGTCATATACGTCAACAACCTGCATGTTAACCTGGCCCATACATACGTTACACTATATCTCCATGTCTTCTAAATTTAGAAATCATCTGGATCGCCTTTAACATTTATCAATAAACCCATCATCGTCGTTGTTGCTAATCGTATTTGGGTTTATGGATTGGTTTATCATATTAGCAGCCTAAAATGCGAACATAGTTTAGATAATAAGATTAAAAATTTAGGTACTATCAACTGCACTAGTGAAATAACTAAATCCCCAAGTAGCTGTTGGCTAAACAAACGTTTAAAATCAAAACTCCGTAGCCTACTAGAATTAACACTAAACGAATATTTCTGAATTAAAATTTATAATTAAATTAGGCGTCTCGGATTCTTTAACGTTATAAATTTCTGATAATTTCGAATCACCTAAATCAACAATACCTATTTTTCTACTGACTAATCCTCAATCAACACTATAACTAGCTAAACGTAATAGTTTCAGGATATCGTCATAAAGCATTGTCATTACTTGACAATCACGTAATATGATTGATATAATTAGTGAAACTTTGCAAAATCGGTCAGCAAATTGACTTATAATTATCACTAGTGTTGTTTTTCTTTTATCTTCATTCACTACAGATGATTACAGTATGTTTCTCTATCAGATGCTCACTCAGTAAATATCTCGAAACCTTGTCAGTCTAATTGATGGTTTAGCGACACAATCATGCATGCAAATAATCAGTATAAGCAGTCGAGCAAATCTCCTGCAAACTGAAAACATCAATGTCGAATTTACCCCAACACTGACTAAGGTTCAAGCCATTATCATAGACATGAGTTGGGAGTGTACTCCCCCTGGTTACAACTTATGTTCTCTCTGATAATCACATGAGCATCACTCACTATTAATCATCTTGTAAAAACTTATTTAGCTAAATACATCTTGCAGCACCACATCACTTCGTAATATGACACAGGCCTAACTGATTTTAATAACCTATAACCACTATATCTCAATTTAATCTTATTCCGCCTTATGATAAACTGCATACTTGCAACTAACTTGTATGCCCAATCAGCCAGGAAGTATAAATATAAATAAAGTCTATTGCAGATCAGAACATTGAGTCCAGAGCATGTCTCTTACGAATACGCTCATGTTTAACGATTTGTTCCTAGCTATCTGTCCAAAATTCGTATAATCATCACTCACGTATTTAAATTTTATTTTGGTAACCATTCATGTGTATTAGTAGTATTACCAGATTCTATCACGGTCAAGTAAAAATGAGGTTGAGAAAATCTCCCCGTAACTAAATAAACCGTATCAAACTAACTGGAACACTAGTTGGAATTCTTTACCATGGTAATACTTTTGTTCCTTCAGTTAGCCTACTGATACAGATGCAATTGGAATTCAACTCATATGGACAACTTACCGGCATAATCGTTATCCGATTTCATAATTTAAACCAAAACTAATACCAATATTAACATTTCTACAATATTCATTATTTTAATATTTCTAAACACAAAATAATTACTGCCTATAAGTTAAGTTATTAACACGCATCGTTTTATTATTATTATTATAATCTCATTTTTTATAGTTCAAATAATCTTCACCCAAATTTTCATTTCAAGCGTTTTAAGCATGAAGGCAGATATTTTAAAATTATTACATGTATTTCCCGATCAGATGCTGCCGCTTTCTTTTTGATTTATCTTTCAGCTTACCAATACCCGGAGGATTCTTATTATCATTGGTAACCTCCGGCGCGCGACGATCCCATCCAATTTGGTATCGAACCAACATCACGTTGATTCTGGTGGGAGAGTAGTGTAGTGGCATTGGACCATAACCACACAATCTTCAAAGCTGAACACAAGACTACTCAGAAAATGGATATTCAATATTTAACGCGGATAAATACCCAACAATGGAGAAGGCGCGAACAATGAATTGAATGGACTGGAGTTGATCGAGTGGCATGGCTCGGCCATGCAGGCGTGGTCTCTATTCATATTAAATATATTGTTCTTTCTCTAACCTAACCTTGTTCTTCATCATGTATTGGTAATTGATACGATACAGTGAGTTGGCGTAGTCGATGGTGTGACTTCCACGTAAGATCTTATAGATTAGGCAGTTATATCATGACGAATCTACAAATTTAGGATTAGGTCTATTATTAGAGCAGTACTAATATCATAGTAGACCATAGTTCTACAAATCCATATGGTGCTCTGTAAGATTGTCTACTATTTCGAGGTGCCTAGTCGGAGTCATCTATAGGAAGCCCACTGTCGACATCGAGCAGAACAGTGGTATGCTGAAAGGACTATCCCACTCTACGCGTTTCGGTTTCACTCATATTCTGATTCTAGGGGATTTCAATCTCCTTACAGTCAACTTCGTGGAACATACGTACATCAGATGTGAGGACTCAACTGAAGCTCGGTTCTTCAACTTCATCGAGGACTTGGGATTATACGAAAATGTAAAGTCGGCAACTCGTTGGAGAAACAGTCAGACATTGCACTTAGGCTGATATGCGATGGTATAAATGACTATTTACTGTCCTTAAGTTTATTCTCAACTCAACAGCATGGTTTCAGGAAGGGTTACTGTTGTATTACCAACCTGCTGACTGCGGTGGACAGATGGACAAGCATCCTTGATCACAAAGGGAAGGTTGATATAATCTACCTAGATTTCTCAAAAGCTTTTGATAAGGTTAACCATACATGTCTTATCAATAAGCTCAAACGATTGGGTATCAAACCACCTCTAATACATTGGCGCACTTCATACCTGAAAAATCGACATTTTAAGGTCAGGGTTAATTTCACTTTATCTCAAGCTATGGAATATCCTAATGGGGTGCCCCAGGGCTCAGTACTAGGACCTCTTCTCTTCTTGATCTACATAAATGATCTTCCTCAACAGATAACGTCAGAATTGTTACTCTCTGCTGATGGTGTTAAGCTTTGGAGAGAGATACGCAATCAAGACGATAAACAGGCACTTCAGGAGGATCTGACTCTACTTCAAAGTTGAGCAGATGCTAACGAACTTACCTTTAACACTTCAAAGTGTAAAGTAGTCCATTTGCGACATATCGCAGACTACAGTTATAAGTTAGGAAACTCCTCTCTGGTAGTATCCCAAGTCGAAAAAGATTTAGGAGTCCTGGTGCCCCATGATTTAAAGTCTTATGATGACTGTGACAAAATGCCTTTTGAGCAAACTTTGCACTGGTAACATTGAAGCGCATTTTTGACCAGTTTGACGGAAGAGCTTTCCATATAATCTTTAATAGTTTCATCCGTCTCCACTTAGAGTACGGAAATATAGTATTTCCTCCCTCACTTCAAAAGGATAAGGACACTCTGGAGTGTATCCCACGGCGAGCCACGAAATTAGTTCGGGGACTCAAATTCAAACCATATGAAGAGCGCCTCCAATCACTCAACCTTAACCATTAGAGTATAGACGTCTTAGAGGTGACGTTCTAATGGCTTACAGTATGCTTGACACTTCTGGAAATCCTCTAAAAGAGGTACTTAAGCTTAGTTCGAACACTAGCCTAGGGGGTAACACCCAGAAACTGGAGACACAACATAGCAAAACGGAGTGTAGACATAACTTCTACTCCTTAAGAGTTGAAACTCGCTGCGGGCCGAGCTAGTTCAAGCGACTTCCCAGGAGTCCTTCAAGAGGCAAATTGACCTATTCTTAAGGACCTGTAGCGTGGCGTCGAGTTGAGATTAACTATGAACACCGCTACAAAGAAACACGTGCCAAATAAATCAGAAGGCGTAGGTTGAACGTAACCAAATAAATCCATAAAATCCCCGAGAAGCCAAATACCAGAAGGCAATTAATGGACCAAGTCGATGTTTATTTGCTGGCGATCTCGTGTCATCGAAAGGATACCGAGATCGTGCCAGGATACAAGCTTGGTTACATAACGTAATCGAATTCGCGCAAAGTTACAATCGAAGTGTAAGAATAAGAATGGAAGAACAAACTAGCTGTCATTAGCACAGTCAAACAAAAGCACGTTAAAACAAGCACCGGTACAGTTGGTTATAATAATAATTGTTTTTATTAAACCAGTCGTGTTCTCGTGATAAATGTGAGTCACTACAGACCAAGGACAGCGTCATACTATGATTTACCAATTTCTTTTTCCTCTTTTATTGTTAACATACCTAGGTTCCTGCCTGGAGGATTTGGTGATCCCCTGCTACTATACACGGAAGCTTGTTAAGCGAAAGCTTCTTCTATTCCGTCCACAACCATTTGAACCACTTGAACCATTAGTTCTCTGAACATCAGTTCATCCGTGGACAACATGCTCTAGACCTCTTGTTTTGACGTGTGGCAAATCAGCTATTATTATTATTGTTATCCAAAAACATATTATTAAACAACAGTACTTAAATTTCTATCTATGGTTATTCAGGCTAATAACGTAAGGTTGTGAACGTCTACAGACGCGCGCTGTTCGAGTTTGGCGTAACAGTCTTCAGGCAGTCTTGTTGGACTTTCGCCTATAACCTGCGCGATAGGTCTTGTCGTCTCGGTCAACCTCTATCTTCATAATTGCTCCAACTGTAGTATACTTTCACTTCCTTAAAAACGTGGGACTTGTGGATAAGCTAGTGGATCCACGCAAAGTTGCTTTTCTAGGACGGTCAAAGGTAACTGCAATTTTGAGTGTCTGTTAGATCATTTTCTCATATACCATGCAACCATCTATCTTTATTATTTTTCTCTTTTGAAACTTGTCTCGGGTGCCTCTCTAAGTTGTTTCGCTTTAGTTTAGCATTATAGTTTTTGGACAAGCCAATCGGATAAAAGGTAAAAGGTCTTTTGTTTTGACACAAAGGTCATTTATTTATTTCGTCAAATAGGGTTTTGGCACTTTAGCTGAATTCAGTTCGTGACGAAAACCCTAAATCTAACCCCTGACCATCAACTGTAAATCCTAATTTTCATACAACTCACTTGCTATAACCATCATTTTGTCTTATGTAATAGATGGACATTCTGAAGGTCACGTTGTCTCCTCTCTGATGTCGTCCATAAATTATAGCCTCACTGAACCCTGATAAGATGCAGTCTTTCGGCATCACTGAGCAACAGTGCCAGGATGTTTTACATGCATTTCCACCCTCTGAATGCAAATCGTTGCTTGAGGGTTTACCTGCGTCCACACCTGGACTGAGGATATTATTTTCAACAAACAGGACTGCCATCTGTGTATTCTAAGTCAACAAGTGAACCTGATAGGACTTCGATGCCCGAAAATTCAGTTGACAAGAGCGTTATTTCCAGCAGTAGGTCTATGATGAAATTAAACAGATAGCGGATAGCCTTGCCAGACACTACTTGAGGTTGCAAAATCAGAGGACAGTTCGCCATAATCTTTGACGGATTAATAGTGTTCGAGTAAAGAGCATTCGCAAGGTTTATGTACTTCTGAGGTACACCTTTAAATGACAGACTGCCACAGAATCTCGCGGTCTACCGAGTCAAATGCTGCTTTTAAGTTAAGAAAGACCGTTGTCGGACGCCGATAAGCATGCCTGTTATCTAGGACCTGACGAATGATGAACATGTGGTCGATGCAGCCACGACCAGGTCTGAAGCCAGCTTGATTCTCTCGTGTTTGCAGTTCACGAGTCTTAGTTAGGCGTCTGACAATTATCGAGGCTAGTATTTTAGATACTATATTAGTTAAACTAATCCCTCTATGGTTATCACGTGATGATTTTGACCCCTTATATGTTGGGACAATAAGTGATTATGACCAGTCAGATGGGATTACATCCAGTTCCCATATTTGAGCTAAAATACTAGTCAAACTAATCGCTAAAACTGGACCACCATCCTTTAAGATCTCTGGAGCTAATCCATCTGGGCCAGCTGCTCTTCCTTTTTTCAGATTGCTATAGTTTTGTGAACTTCAATTGGAGTCGGGGGTCCTACTTCAACATTCCATTCAAGCTGTTTGGAAATGATGGGTAGTTTTAGAGTAGTTGAAGGCCAGCTTAACTGTCCCTTAGTGTTCCGCCCATCGTTCTAAACGTATGGGCTGAGAGCAGATAATATTGTCGTCTTTTTTGCGAGATCGTCTCACGTACACTTGACTTATTAATTCCAGTTTCTTTTATTAGTCTGTAGAGCTGCCTTGCGTTACCTATAGCCGCCGCCTTTTCTATCTTTTTTTGCTTTCGTTGCCCACCACTGCTCACGGTCGTTCCATAGACTTTTGCTTAACCTAGATCTGATTTGTTGTCGTTATTCATCGTGTTCAAAGCCTGATGGAATGAGTTTACGAGAATCCATCAGTGCAATAGACTTAGTAGAAATTCATTGGTTTTCCATAACTCTTTGGTTCAAATCACTGATAGATATCGCTACTGTTCCTACAGCTGTTTGTATATCTTTCCAATCAACATCTGGGTCAGCCTCGTTTCCAGAAATACCTAAGTTTTACCTCAGTCGTTCCTAGGATCTGCTTTCGGCTTTCTCGTCACTGAGTTCAACTCTAATGGGCCTCTTAACATGGTTTTTCTGCGTCCAGTGAGGTGCAAGCAAATGCATGCTCGTATTAAAGCATGACTAGAGTCTAAACACGTACTCCAGAACGAGTGGAAGTCTTCTATAGAGCCCCTCCAACGATGACTGATGGCAATATGGTCTATTTGAGTCCATCGTTGGTTTGGTGCAGAAGGTCGCCATGTTAGACAATGTTCATCCTTATGCTTAAAATTATTCTTTGCTAAAAATAAACGATTGTCGGAGCACAGTTGCGGCAGACGATCACCATTATTTGTTCGCTGAGCCGGAATATCAGAATTCCCACCTAAATGTCTTTCTGCTTGGTTCAAGCCAACTACCTGGGCATTAAAGTCATCTGCTACTAGTACTACGTCTGAGCGTTTAGCTTTCTGAACAGGTTCAGAAGGCATTCTGTAAAGTTGATCTTTCGCTTCGTCCGGGCTTCAGTCACTGGGAACGTAGGCATGAACGTCGGAAAAGCAACGAGTGTCTCTATCTCTTCGAGTTCTTACGGAGCCGTTTAACCGAACAGCACATAGGCGACTATTGACGGGGATTCATTCTAATAGTTCTTGTTCTGCCCTCGTGCTTAGTGCTACGCCTACGGCCGCCAGATACACGGAGGGTGTATCTCGTCGGCTCCCCGTTTTGGCGCGGTGAGGTCAAGGGAATAACTACACTAGGGTCTTGTGTGTGTTTCGGAGACACAGCATACATCAATGGTACAAGATTCTAGGGTCCCAGCCAAGGAGGCCTGCTGGCCGTTTTGACATTGGGTGCATACGTTGAAGACTCCGGTGTGTAGTTTGGAGCGAGGTTTCAGTAGACCTGGGACAGTGTTTTGAGCTCTAAAATCGTTGGCTATGGTGACACTTGAGGGGGAAGCCAAAAGAGGAAGTTTAGAGTTGAAAGCCGAGGCAGGAGGAATAATAGGAATTGAAGAAGGAGATTGATTATGAATACAGTGATTTTGAGTGCTGTTAGAGGTATATCGGTGGTTTTTACTTCCCGGTTGCCCATACCATGGAAGGTTTTTTAGAGGTACCTGAAAAGGAATTTGGGTTAGAGGTGGTCTTAGTGACCTGAGAGCATGAGCGCAGTGCCCAAGGGACAACTGCTTGAGGTTGGTCACACACGACCTTTTATGAGTAGTTTTTGTGTTAGCTCCGTACTTGTTGAGACCTTAATGTCAGAGACGGACATCCGTGAAATGAGATGAGGTGTGCACTTTTAAGTTCGACCTTTTCTAACCCCACCCCTCTGTCGTGGTAGTTTTCTTAAGGAAACACCTTACTGCTGTCACACCTCTGTACAGTCAGCAGTATGACTTCGCCCTCGGACCATGGTTTTTTGCTTTTAGTCTTACCGTTCTTCAACCGACCTGTCTGGTATGGTAGGACCTTGAGGAAAGATTGTTCCAGCCAGTATATCTCGATGGGTTCACCATTATAGATGATCCCGACCACCACGTCAAAGTAGCAGCAACGGTTTTAGCTGCGAAATAACCTAGAGAATGTCTCGTACCAAGGTAAGAGTGCAGATGAGTTGGAAGGTCTTAATATAGATAGTTTCACAAGGAACAATCTTAGGTCCACTTCTGTTCTTGGTCTTTATTAACGATCTGTTAGATAAAACTAGTTCGGGAGAGGACGCAAAACTCTGGAGGTCCATAAAAAAACTCGAGCTTCAAAAGAACCTTACAACTATAGTAAAGTAAGGATTAGACAACAGATTAAAACTTAATTTATCGGAATGTCATACCATGAACATTCTGCCTCGTTTGACATAGAACACACACACTCAATGTAGATTTTCTCCTGATTTTCTACTCAGAGAGTGATCTCGGATTTGCAACCATAGAGAACTTAGACACTAGTTCAAAGTACACAGGGTATGCAGCTAAGGCAAACATAACTCTCCACTTTATGCGGAGACAACTTGGAGTGGTCACCCCAAAGTTCTCCCTAACACTGTTCTAAAGGTACTCACGGTCCCATTTTTAAGTCCACAATGTTGTCGGGGTATGAATCTCTTAGACCAAGTACAGAGATGGGCAACTAATTAGGTGATAGGACTGAGACATAAATCTTACGAGGACAGACTTCAGCACCTGGAATTATTCTCTCTGAGCTACAGAAGAGTTAATCTAACGATGGCACACAGCGTTTGAAGTTCTTCAAGCCACCCCAACACGAGCATCATGTTACCAGAATATCATCACAATGCTCCTTGAGGCAACCCTCGAATGATTGCACATTGAAGGACGAACACTACTTCTTCTTACACATTGTCATTTAAGTAAACTAATTTATTATAGTAATCTCTTATCACTCTAATTATCACTTAATTATTTTCACATTGCAACTAACTAACCTCCTACCTGGTTTTGTGATAGCTGCTGGTATCCAGAAACCCTACTGCCTTGAAATAAACGCACTTTCTCAACTACAAGATACACAAGTCCAAACCGACTGGAATTAGTGGAGTCGAGTGGTTGAACTACCACCCATCGGATATAACCAAATACCTGAAACCGTACCAAAACAACAAGAAGCAAGCCCTAAAAAATTTATCATTTTATACAAGCTCGTGACAAAGATATTGAGTATTAAAAAAATGGTCTCAAAGGTGAGCATTGTTCATTTGGTAAGGAGTTGTTAATTATGAAAAATAGGCGAATACGAAAACTCAGTTTGTGAGTAACTATGGTATATTTCTCAAGTCGCTGAAGATGCAATCTGTATTTGACGACAAAAACGACTTTTTGGATGTCGTGTATTGGTTTAGGCAAGTTTTTGCCATTATAGTCGGTGTTGTCTGGGGTGTAGCCTCGTTTACGGGTTTTGTAGCAATCCTCATGTTTTTTGTAACAAACATATGCTTTGTCTATGCATACGCTGCAATTTATCAACGTGTTGATGAGGATGAATATGGTGGATATGGGGAGATCATTAAAGAAGGTTTAATGACAGCTTTTGCATGCTTTATGGTATCCTGGATACTCACTTATGATTGCGCTCACGGTGTAAACAGCACAACTTGGTAGTTTATCGATACTGTATTTGTAATATATGTTACTGGTTTTGTACATCCCGATATTTTTTATAGAATATATTGCGTAGTTCCTAAACGTGTTCTTTTTTTGACGAAATCAGCTAAAATGTTTACTAAGTTTGTTCTGTTTAGGCAATGGCCACTCAGTGCGCTATGTATCGCATCAAAAAGCTCGAACATAGTACATCAGATACTGGGACCTCGTGCTACAAAGCTACAGATGGATCTCTATGTTTCTGTACAGTAATTGACTTTAACCACGGTCACGAATCTGGTCTTGATTTAGAATGCTGCCCACTTCATTCGCTTTTTAATATACAGTGCGAGCCCATTGTTCTGAAAAGCAATTCGCGCTTTCGCATTCTTCTGGGTAATTCTCCCGACACTACACAATTTAAAAACCAGCCAAATTCGAAACAGCTTTCTTTAAGAAGTGTGGTAGAGAATATCCTCTTTAATTGTACAGCCGGGGACGTGTTCAATGTAGATATAGAATCCGTTGAGAGAGGCGAAAAATACAAAGATCCTACAGTGAGCCAAATCTATATTCTGTTTTCATTTTTGTGTATATTCTCATGTTTTCTTACCTATTATAAGAAGAATTTTTAATAATTCTAAAGAGTGCATTATTTGCAAATAAAGTAGACAGTTTTCTGACTCAGTTTATGACTTGCGTAGTTTCAATATATCCTTATCAGATGTAAAACAATCATATTTATCAATCCTGAATTACCAACAGTTTGTTGGCTTTCCCGAAATTCTATGAGCCGTATAATGAATTGATATCTGGATCATATTAACGATATCCATTTTGTTTTGTGGAGTCCAGAAATACCCCTCATCAATATTAATTTTGTTTGACAATGCGTGGGTGTTTAATCATTGTTCATTTTGGATTATTCAACTATTGTCTTGTCCAGACAGGTTAAACTTTGAATCTATGTAATCACGATAAATGGGTTGGAAACATTTTTGCATAAAAAACCAACTTGAATCACTTGACCCATGATCAAGCACCTCTATCTTCCGCTTTTTGTGGTCATATATCTCGGTCGTAAAGCAGTGTGAAACAAGCCTCAACTGAATATAATATACTGACTAATTTGTAAATAGCTAAATATATTTGGTCACAGATAGGATGTTGATACATTGGTAAATAATTCCGCTACGTGTGTAAGTTTCCTCACTTTCCATATTTCTTGAGGGTTATATATTATTGTGTGCTCAATGTGCGTATGTAGTTATAGTGTAGACAATCGTTTATTAACCTCTAGTTAAACTTTATCATGTAATTATCCCTATCGTTGGCATCTTTAGTCGGAGTAGATTAAACAGATTTTAAGCTAAGGAAAATTGGTTCAGTGAAGACTTCTCTTTTCGGGGAATTTATTCTCAAAGCTATACAATCGCAAATATATATACATGTTATTCAGGATGATAATAAAACACTAGTGGTAATAAAATTCTGTTAAATATGGTAACAGTGAAGTTGAATAAACAAAGGTATTAAAACTTTTCTTCAGGGAAACTAATAATAGTTTTATTGCTAAGTGCTCGAGCGGGGAAATTATAATTGAGAAAGGATGGCCCAGCGTTACAAGATATAATCTTGAAATCGAGATGAAATATAATCAGGAAGATCATAGGAACAGAAGTAAACCTGTTGGGAGTGAAAGGTCTATAGAGAAGATAGAAGGGATATCTGATGGCTGTGAAGGAAGAAAATTATGAGCCATTAAGACCATGGCAGAAGAGGTTATACCAGTTCCAGTTTGGTCCACTTTATATTATTCAGTGCTTTGCATGTGCATGTCAGTCCTCATCACCAGGTTTTTGAATCTTCAAAGCACCTCGTTTAATGCAAAGGAGATCAAAAAATACCTTTGGAGAGATAAGATTAGTGGCAGCAATTTATAGCAGAAAGATGGGGACGAAAAACATTTAACAAGATGTCACTATGTGTTTCTGAACGAATATCACTTCTTGGAATCTGATTTTGAAGATGATCGCTTGTTTGTGATGGGAAAATGAACTGACAGTTCTGTGTAATTACAGCGTAAAAGATCTACTTAGAAGTTACCATACTTTGTTTTCAAAATGTTTCATGTGTTCCTTGAGTAACGTAACCACCTGCAGTTTGAATTAATGAGGCTAAATAGTAACTATAATTTTAAGACAAACCTATCCTAACGATATGCCATTTAAGTTGGGGACGTTATATCTTTTCAAACCTCATTTGCTTTAAATGTCTAGAAGCCTTTCCAACTAGGCGATTAGATCAAATTTGTTCAGTGACAGGAATGTCATTATGTCGATATTGGAAGGGATTAAAGATAGGAATTTTAAATAGGTTTTAAAACGGTTAAGATTAGAAACTTTGTTAATATCCATATCTCAGTGAATGTTCCTTGGTCATCGAAAAGTATGATTTTCCTATGTTCTTGAAAAGGAAACGAGTTTACTATTTTTTGATGGCTATTTAGTCCACTTAAAAAGGGATAACGACTGTATGAAATATTTTGTTTTTTTTCATTGTAAAATAGATTGTTTGAATCAGTTGAAACTGATCAAACAGCAGCTGCTCACAAAACCCACTTATATTAACTCAAGGCCTTTTTTCACAAATAAGCTGATATCATGTGACAACACGGCTAACCAGAAAATTTAGTTACTTTTGTACTCAATAAAATCAAATCTTTATGTATAAAACTTATGGTAAAATGATAATTGCCTTAGGTTTACAGATAGTGTTTATTAATTGATATGCAATCATGTCTCGATGTCATTAACGCATAATGTTTTAAAGAACTATTCTTCTGAAGGGGTTTTGGTGGAGATTGTAGTAATTTCAATAGTTGAGGTCATGAGTCAATTTAAGCAAAACCACTATGGAAAACCTGGAAGCACTGGACGGCCGTTTCTTCCTATTGTGGGACTCCTCAGCAGTGCGCACCCATGACCCCGCATCGAGGGATCCGAACCCAGGACCTATCAGTCTCGCACGCGAGCGCTTGACCACCAGAACCCTGAACCAGCATCCAGCGGTGTTAATGTCTAACTTCAAGAGGTATATCCTGGAGTTTTAGTGAGAAGCAGTGACCAGTGGATTCAACCGGGTCAGTTGTGAAATATTAACTCACCAATTGTTTTATAGTCTCATTTTAAAGTTGTTACATTGTTCCATTGCAGCCCTCTCATGATATACTGTATTTGGGGAATGAAAAGAAATTGAATATGACTCGTTCTGGTAAACATAATCAAGTGTATTGATCAAAATATAGGCCAGAAACTCGCGAACAATCCCTAGTGAGTGTATATGCATAATATCTCAGTGGATGTGCCATACAATAAAGTCACAAATTCGGTTGTGTAAAGTGTACGTAATTAATCGGAATCTTAAGAACATCCATGTAAAAGGTAGTATCCACTGTTCTTCTCTCAGTAAAAAATCCAGTGGGCTACATTATATATGTCAAAATCATTAATGGTTAGGATTGGCTATTTTTTGAGCAGACAGGTCTATAGCGAGTAACTAAGATGCAATTAAAATAGTTCAGCATCTCCACAACATTGTATTTGGAGGGATATATAGTTTCACACACCTTAAATAAAAGTATTAACGTTTACTAAATAATAGTAGAACGAACAACAACACCTATCATTAGAAATCGTAACGTGTTAAGGCAATGGTTAACATGTACCTTTAAAGATATTTTGAACTACAAGAACGAAGATAAAACATGTATTGCCATAAATGGGAATTTAGTAAAATATAGTTTTTATAATCTCCATTTTTGTATATTTGACAGACTAATATATAGTTTGTATTTCGGTTTACTATTTACTTGTTAGTAACCATTATGTTTTATTCGGAGTAAAAAGAAGTTGAATGGTAAATTGCAGAAATATTTCATATGATCGTTTAATAATTGTTTCTTATTGCTGTTAGACATTAGATAACTTTTTAGAGTGTTTTCATATATTTTATTCATTTAGGAGTATCATCTATCATTACGCGTTGACTATGTACTTGTTCCACCGATCTGTGGCGATCCTACTATGAATGTTAATGCTAAAATATTAGAATCGGATTTAAGAGAAAATACTACAGTTGACTGGAATCCTGATTTAACAATTCAATGGTTATATCGAGCTTGGTATTTAAAAGAAAGAGGTTCTTGGTTGGTAAATCATCATTTGAAATGTGTAACATTACACTTGAACAATTCAAATAGTGATAATAACAGAGAGGAATTATTCAAATACATTTGGTCATCAGCTTTTGCATGTTATTCCAGAGCTTTACAGCTTGTTTCATTAGCTTATTGGGCTGAAAAAACATGTGTAAATGATGTTTTACCAATGGGAACTGACGAAAATGGATATGATTGTACAAAAAATAAAACTAACACAAATAATAATATACACTGGATTCAAGTGGTATCAGGTGAAAAATCCATAACTTGTAATAACGGTGAAAAATTGAACAGTTCAGACTACAAAGATTGGGATCGTTTTGGGGATATTGATCACAAAACTATGTTTCCATTACAATGTAAACCTTTACGCTTGATGTTTATGTAAGTTTTTGGATTGATTTTCGTTCGACTGTACTTTTTTTGTGAGGTATACAGTTCACGTAACTTGTGAAGTAATGCTTTTTTAGAGTCAGTTTTTGACACTTTATTAAATTCATAAGCTGCTGATCAATTTCACATACTCAATACGTAAGTTAACTAATAGTCGATGTAATTCATTTACGAAGTATAGGTGTACTTACTTGAATTTAACTCTCACCCTATGTAGGCCTGTTATACTAACCGATTGTCTAAACATAAGTAGGTAAGACGCCGTTTAATCTTGCGATTTTGCTGGTTAAAAACCGAGTGTTTTAAAAACTTAACTGCAGCTTCATCATAATCAAAGCTTAGTATCAGAAGCCTTCATGGTTTGATGGCAAAGTCACACTTTCGACTGTACAGTGGTGTGACGACGGTAAGATGTTTCCTTTAAACAACCAACATCTGGGGCGACACTGTCTTTCCACATCGGAAGAAAGAGGTTATAAAAAGTCGGTCTATGGATATTTCGCACGTCACCTTAAACCATAGATTTTCATCCTCCGCGCTAAGGCCTTATAAGTATATAGCTAACATGTAAAACAGCTAACAGAAAGGCGGCGCGTAACCAGCCTCAAGCAGTTTTCCCTTAAGCATTACGGTCACTCTCTTAAGTCATTTGCATCGACCTAACCTAGTTTACTTTTTCATATCGTTCAAGAAGGAGTATCCGTCCACGGTATGGGGAACCGGAGTATGACAATCGCCTTTAACAGCACTCGGGATCGTCTTGTTCAACATCAAATATAATCTTCACTACTTAATATTTCTTTCATCAGAAGTCAGTAAGACACAGGTCCGTAATTCTGTTCACTTTACTCAGTATTAGAAACCAATGAATTAATTAATGAAACATGTAAATAGCTAGATATCACCAACTTCGATATCTGGGTATTGTTAACCAAGTAAGAGTGATCTAGATGCCTAGTAGTTACCTCTGTTATTTGGGACAGAGATCACCGGTTGTTTAGATTCTACTATTACTCATTAACCATTTGTAGGTTATTCAGTTGATGTTTTGTATAAATAAAATTGTGATCGAATGTTTGGCTAATATTGTGAAACATTTATATGACAAATATATTATTTTGTTTAATCTAGATTAACATTGAACACTATCATTCAATACTCATAAATGTGAATTCTCAATTTACAAAGCACATTTATCATAATAATGAAGACTCAATAAGTGATGAAGAAACATGACTTTATCACCAGTTTATTTTCTTAATTTACCCACCACTATTGTACAAGAAATAGTTCGTTGTTTTTCTAATTGACTTATCAGCTTTCATTTGAAAATAAGTATGTAATCTGTTGTACACTAGTATAGCAACAAAGTTTATTTAACACCATGAAGAGAATGATTTTTTTCTTCTAAAAGGGAAACCAACTGAAATTTGAACTGGAATTTTAAAGTTCACATAATGACTGAGTTGGAAAGTCTTACTTTTGATAATAAGTGGTTCACTACTCATTTATGTTTTACAAATAGTTTAAGCCACCCTACTAAAGCATTTCCTTATCTTTAGTAAAGTAATAGTCATTCTATTCCAGTACATCATATTCATAGTCGAATATAAATAAGTACGTATTTTTGCACTAGACTTTGAGATATATTTGTTACGTGAGAGGACTGTCACTTGATCCTCTTTTATAATGGTTAAAATTTAGATGTTTAAACTACTAAACCATAACATTAATATAGTATGGTATCTGATCAACGTAAACTATCAACTTTAGACCAAAGTAACACATTCCGACTATTCTTGTAGTTATAATTCTTCAAATTTGTCAAACAACTTACATTTCTCTATCCGAAATCTTGTTGTCAATCTCAGCAACCCTTATTTGGTAGGTTAATCACATTCAATAATTAATTCCTTATTATAATAACTTGCATTATTTCACTATACTTAGCACAGTTATCCTTTTTTAAAAAACACCTTTAGTGTTTATTTCTATAATACGTCCATTTTATAAGTTATGGGCTCTCAAAGCGCTGATTGATTGACATAAGAGTAAGGTAGAAGAAAACTTGAGGTAAACAAACCAAGTAATGTCATTAGTCCATGAAATCATGAACCGTTGAACGAAGTCGTATTGACAAACGTAGACTACGTGGATATGATCCACCTAATGGCCATGATCAGTGGCTGAAGACTCTGAATGTTATGGATCGAAATTATTTGCAATGACGTAGATGCATTCATTTTTTTTATCTTCAACTAAATCTTAATTCTCAGTAATTCTTCATGCATTGTTTCATTTCTTTCCTATATGTTATGGGCGTTTCTTCTTTCTTATGATCACTGACACCATTATTATTCCAACTTTGTTATTCATTTCATTAATTTCGTCACGCCATGCTGATGTATCATGGTAAGTTGGACCTAGTTACTCTTAGTCATTCTCTACACTGAAAACTGTTTTATAGCCTATGATGATTATCGATTTAATAACTTTCAAACAAAAATAATTATAACTAATGACGAGTTTTAGTTACATAATATTGGTTTATGAAAAGGATTGAATGTTTCAATGAATAGCAGAAATCAAACCTAGTTTTAAAAAATCATTCGTAACGTACATCGTTACGTCCTAATCATGAAAAATGAGAAGTTCCTCTCATTCCTTACATAGATAGGTTTTAAATAATTCAACATATTTAATTGTCTTTTCATGTTTTTTTTTCCGCAGCCTCCTTTCAAATGTTGCTTTATGTCAATTGAAAGTTGGATCTAATGAATATTGTGCTCGAAATTGTTCACATGCTTTATATCTTCTTTCATGTCAAATAGATTCTTCTATATATTCATCAACTAATGATTATTATCATCAAGATATCATTAATACATCATTATTTTCACAAGAAAAACTTCAATTCTATTGGGATAATTTTGAAATATCTTATCAAGATATACATAAAGTACTATTTCGTCGTGCTCAATCTTATTTTAATCAAGGTAAAATGGATGAAGCTAAATTTGATTTGGAAATCTGCGTTGAATTAATGAAAAGTCAGTTATTAACATTGCAAAATAAAGACCATAAGGAGAAGACTATAGAAAATAATAATAATAATAATAATAATAATAATAATAATAATGAACAAGAAAAGGAGGAAAAGGATACGGAGAGCAACAACACTTGTAAACAAATTAAAGCAGCTTTACAGGCTAGTGAAAACCTTTTAGTCAAAGTGATTGATCGTATAAAACGTGATCAAGATGAATTACTATCTCGTATTAGGAAACGAACACATGTAAATGAATGAAACGATATGTTTTATTGTGTTTTATAAAATTTATTAATTCAGTGAATAATTATACTTCATATATTATTAAAGAAATCATCTTCGTATCAGTTGTTTGATAATTTGCATCATAGATTCATTCAAAGCTTTATCCGGGTTTTTCGAAACAATCAAATAAGCAGTATTGAAGTTAGATACATATTTACTAGGTAGCAATGATGATATATCGATTGGTGGAGCTGTACAACTTCATTGGTTAAGATGACTATGACATACATTATATTTGCTCGTCTTCTGTCTACCCCAAAGTGCAATGATGACTATCTTGGGATCATTTTGGATAAAAGCTGGTTGCGGACAAACTAAAATGTTCCGTCAGTTTAACAAATAATTGTCTGTTACTCTGAGGTATTTTGGTTGATAGAAACGTTTTGTTTGAAACCCTTCAGATAACTGGTGTCAGTAGTTGTAAACATTTGTTGACATGGCTTAGAGTTATTTACCGTAGTTTAGTTGGATTTACTTTATCTCCCCATAAATCTTGAGTTTTAAAGCAAGTATATAAATTGTATTCCTTTATTTCATCCCTTCTTTTCGAAATAAATTCTATATATATTTAGTCTTGCTGTAACTGATACTGCTACTACTTCTACTTCTTTGATACCCTGTTAATTTCATTGCTTTGTACTAGTGTGAGATGTGATACCGATAACCTATACACATCTGTACCACATTCTACGTTGATTACGATGGACTGACTGACTGATACCTTACGATCACTGGAAACAAAGTAGGTGGAGGAGAATTCCTATCCAATCATCGTAAGTTGATTGGTTTAATTATCAAGCTATTGTTATACTAATAATATGACCCTAGTAAGCATAAGAAGTATCTTTATATGATAGTTAGTTTATTCATACTTTCTTTGTAAGTTCATTATTATTGAGATTAGAAAGGAATACCATTTTTCAAAAAGAATTTTCACTTCAAACCTTCGCTACCTACCTGGTCATTTTTTATCTTAAGACCGAGTTGTTATAACGCTCGGTTTTGTTTCGTCTGATGTTATAACGGTTGGATTTGCACGTTTACACGTATGGGACGTTAATTTACCTTAAACATATATCTACACTAGATTCCCCATCACTGTCTATTCTACAGGACTTTAACACAACTCAGATCAAGAACACGTGATTAGCCTGACCACAACGTAAATATATTTCCACACTAAAAACCCAATACGATCCAACAATAATGAATAGCCAATAATAAGTGAGTCATAATAATAATAAGGATAGGGGAATATATAACTCATCTGACACCTGTCCAACTATCTACATGTCTGACTAGAGAGACAACCAATCATTCTCGCCCACACATCACGAATACAACAGTTTGAAGTGAATTCCAGTCCATTGTAGGTTTCTAACCTATTAACTTTGTTGAGTCAGGGAGTATCAATGAAAATGTCAAAGTTTGGAAGTTATGCTCTGAGAACTCAGTATATATGCTTATAATAATGTGCAACACTTTTATCTCTTCCTTGGTAGAAATAACTTCAGTAAAAGATTTCACTGATTATTATTTTCTATATTCAATTTGTTTATTGTTCCTCATCTCCCCCCCCCCTATTTCTTTCTTAAATATACACTTCATTGTCCAATTATTTGAACACTTCTTACTACGTAATCTTGTAACTTTTTATGAGTGTTATTGACCTATATCCTATTATGAAACATTAATTCAAGTCTTTATTATTCTTATCACAACTAGTACACCTTTCATTACATGATCAATTTGTACTCTTTACTTATTATGTTTAGTTATGTAATGTATTCCACTGTTATCAATGTCTCATAAACTGCCTTAATTAATTTAATAATTTCGTTTATGCATATCAATACATTACTGTATGTTAGTCTATATTAGCCTGATGAGGATCTAATTGAAAACAATATTATATATATATATATATATATATATATATATATATATATGTCAGCCAGTCAGTAACAACGTAGAACTTCATACGTACGTACATCAGTTCGAGTTGCCACACCATTTTAACACAGAGATGCAGTTGTCGATTCAAATTCCGTAGCGGTAGAGGTAGTAATAGTATAAGCAGTAATCGGCAAGATTAGGGTTTGGAGATGTTATATAAAGAGTATAATACAGTGAAATAAATTCGGGAAGATAAGAAAGAGACAAGGAGGAGTCAGGAGATTAAAATTTGGGAGAACACAAAGAGTGGATGCACCTGCGCCATTGCAAACCATTTTGAGCCATGTCATTCAGGGTCTCTAACCATCGGTTGCTATTATCTCGCGGTCCCCAACCAGGTAGTCTACACCTACCAATATGACTCAGTTCACTTGTCAGTGACTTCATGGACTTGTGCCATGTTTTGCTCTGGTAGCCCCTAGCTTTCTTCCAATCTACTCCTATACCATTGAACATCGCACGTCGCGGCAGTCGGTCGTTGGGCATGCGTAACACGTGTCCCAGCCATCTCAACTGATGAAGTTTCACTACTTCATCAATTGATTTACCATCCTTACCTAGTACATGTTTTCTAACACTTCACTACTTACTCGATGGTCCCAGGATTATATATATCTTTAAATTATAGTAAACTAGTCAGAAATCAGTCACTCAGTTTCATACTATTAATATTGTAGTTTTGTACTTAATGCATATAAGTTTGAATCATACAAATTAGTACCAGGGTACTTACTGTTCCTAAGATTCTGATTGATATGGTTTACAGTATCATGTAGTTTATCAATTGTTTCGGTGTATACAATGAAGAGGTTTAGCGAACATGTAGTAAGTTAGGATGATAATAAAAGAGTATATCATCATATATTCACTGATTAAAATCATTTACAAATTAAATCACTATGTTTAAATTGATGAATGGATCAATGTTAGACCACCATTAAAAACCTGGAAGCACTGGACGGCCGTCTTAGTACAGGACTCCTCAGCAGTGCGCATCCATGATCCCGCACGCAGAGCTCGAATCTAGGACCTTCGGTCTCATGCGCGAATGCTTAACCTCTAGACGAAACGGCCGTCCAGTGCTTTCAGGTTTTCAATGGTGATCTAACATTGATTAATTCATGATATCAATCTAAACTCAACAATCTCCACAACCCTATACACCGATAAATTAATATGCGTTATCACTATTTCAGTATAATCGCTTATCAATACATAGTATTACTCTTCACTAGTGCCTAAATCATTTCTCTTCAAAGTAGTCAATAATGAATGGAGAAGCAAGTAGATATTCGTTTGAAGCAAACGGCAGCGGAAATATATCTTATTATTGTGACAAAGATTGTTAGAACAATAGTTTTAATGATAACTGATAAATTCATTCTATTCAGATGTATAGAAATGTTTTATACTTTTGTGTAGGAAATACATACCTTTTTGCAATAAATAAAAGATATTTAATCAAAATTTTACTATATTACTGATACTAATAATGACAGTTATATAAAATTGTTGACATTTGCTTTGATCGGATATATTCATTATAAGGTTAAATCATGAAATAGGACATTTGTAGTAATAAAGAATTTCTGTTCAGTGTTTAATTGACTATTGTCTATACATGCATAGCCTTGACACTAAAATAAAGATAAATATATCATATAAGAATTCCAAAAGTAAAAAAAAATGTTTTATTGTTTACTTTACTTTTACTTACGCCTATTACTCCTAATGGAGCATAGGCCGCCGACCAGCATTGTTTACTTTGATGAATATTAATTCTTTAGCTAGAACCAAGTTAGTTTTGTATTTATTTATTAAGCTTTGGTTTTAATGTAGGGTTGTGAAGAATTCGAAGTAAAAACACTGACATTGAAAGGTGTTAATGATATGGTTAGCGGAAGGCTTTTATACCATATTCTATTTTACACGGACTCAAATGATGATCAAAGTGACTGAATCGATAATTTATTCATGCTATTAATACTTTAAACTATGATTGACTGATTAGTTATCAGTCAGTCAGCTACAACATAGGACCAGGCACATATATGCATCAGTCCAAGTTGCCATACCTCATTAGCACAGGAAGATGAACACCGGATTCATAAAAGTAGGTAATTCAATAGTGGTAATATATAAAATAAAGATTGCATATAAGGATATAGTACAGGAAGAAAGAATTAGTTCATAGAAAGAAAGATATGAAGCGATTTTAATCTCTTAGTTTAAGAGAAGACAGAGAGTGTATACACCGACGCCATTGTGACCGATTCTGAGCCATGTCACCAAGAGTGTCCAACCATTGGTTACGATAGTCACGCGGACCCCAACCAAGTAGTCTGCATCTACCAACATGGCTAAGGCTATAAATTAGCGACTTTAAGCACTGAGGCCACATTTTGGTTTAATCACCCCTAGCTTCCTTCTAATCATCTCCAACACTAGTCAGGATTGTGTGTCGTGGTAATCGGTGTTCAGGCATGGGTAACACGTGGCCCAACCATCTCAATCGATGAGGATTCACAACCTCATCAACAGATTTACCATCATTCTCTAATAACCTGCGTCTAACCTTACTATTACTTACCCGATGATCCCAGCAGATGCGAGCAATATTTCTGAGGCATCTGTGGTCAAATACTAGTAGCTTACGAGTATCTTCAACTGTTAATAGCCACGTTTCACAGCTGTTTTGCTTTACGGCTGAATAGTTATTAGAATATAGAAACACTAGCTAACCAATTAAATGTATATTGAGGAATGAAACGAACATATTCAAGTATAACTTCTCAGGCCAGAGATAATTCATTAAAGATCTAATTGAGAATAACAAATCGATTTTTGACCGTTTTGTCATTATGTTTTAGGATAGGATTTTATCGAATTTCAAGGAATCAGTGTTATTGTTTATGGAAATGCATTTTCGATGGTTATTTAACATAAGATGTTGTCCATTGTAAAGGTAGAATTTATAACATATTCATTAATGAGTTTTTGTCTGAGTTCATAAATAGTTATACCTTTTAAGTCTACGGAATCTTCCCAGTTGACGAGTCCCGAATAGGAGGGAATGGGAGTCATGTAGTCACTACTGTGGCTAACAGTAGTTGCCCTGGCACGGTCGAGAGTGGGGAGAGTTCGCTCTCCCTCTCGAAATGCTCTCATATGGCCACGCGTACACAATCACTGCCAAGTAAGTCCTACTCACTGTCTTCTCGTGGCGGGGGTGTTGTTTACAAAATCGAGAGGACAAAAAGTGAATGTCCGGTTCTTTAACCGGGTTGGTGGATATGGTGGATTCACCTAGGGGAGTTGGAAAACCATGATTCCGAACCATTGGTGCACATGGGCCCCAGTACCCTGAGGGAGAAAATGGCATATGAACCAGTCGTTGGTCACCGGCTACCATCGGACTGCATCCTTACGATGCTGCACTGCTTTGTGGATCAGACTTTTAGGTCGAAGGCTCCGGATGTGGCCCTCTAAGAAAACCATCTGCTTCAGTTTGGGCACCTAAGCAGTATCACAACCTTCACACAAATCAAATGAGATTTGTGTGGCGCATATGTATTTGGTGCCCCGTTGTAACAGTATTTATGTTTTCAAAGAAATAAAAACTGTGACTTTAATTAAAAACTTGTAACAGCACAGGATGTGTATATGCTGAAAGAGACTGATTAATTGCGTGTCATGACATTGATAGTGGAGGGATATAAGCTTAAGTGAAATTCATACTCAAAGCATAAGGAAGTGGCTACGTGGACTCAAACGATGGTACGATGAGGGTTTGAAGCGAAAGATACTGCATTCGAGCTACCGTATAGATATACGCTGGGATTCAGGTAAGTCCACCCGACTTCTCTCAAATTATACGAAATGTGCGTCCACTATTCCACTGCTAGCCAGTATTCCAACTTTAATTGAAGTGCTTCTACGTTGGTTTATCACTTATCTTTGCTTTAAACACGAATTCACCCGTTTTTCTGCATTATATGGGGAGAATCTTGTTTTATTTGGAGTATTTCTTGGTACTATTTTGTGATTAGTTACATTGTATTATAAGTGGATGATTGAATGTAACTGTTAAAACAGTATTTTTTACGGATTCGCCTCAACTGGGTTACTGCTGAGAAACAAAAATACTGGACAGCCATTAGATTACTCATCCATGCGGACTTACAACCCCTTTAAAGCTGGTAATATGCTCATCAAGGACTTACTTCGAGATGAGTTCCAGAAATACTGTCAAGAAGTCATGTATGGTAGAGTTAAGCTCTGTCGGATGTAAGTCAGTTATCATCAATGGAAGTGGACTATCGTCAATTTGGGAAATATACTACCGACAAATTTATCTAGTTACCAATGAATTCCTCTATCAAAAACATTTTAAGTTTGATGGCTGAAACATATGGTGCCGAGAATTCAAGTAGTATTTTACTAGGGTTTTTACTCTGTTGCGTTTGTTTATTTGTAGAGTTATTTAAAATAGGCGCCACAAATAAATATTACAAATCACAGAAGAAAGTAATGTATACTAATAATAATAGTCTTACTTTATATCCAATAGTTCCACGTTTATAAATTTTGTGCACTGAAATAATACGATTTTGTGGATCGTATACACTACCTTTCCTGGCATAATAAATGTTAATTGTTTGACCTATAATGATATTTTGACATGACCTGAAAGAAATAACCATACAAAGACTTGTTTTAAAGAAAAGAATGGTATAAATCAAATATCTAGTACCATTTGATAACTAGTGTACACCAGATTACAGGATTGCTCGTGCTGATTAACTCATCATTGATTTAGCACAGAGACCAGGTCATATAAGTGATTGTTTTGATTGGCGATACTGTTACGTGATCATTGACAGTGGCATACGTCATAACAATGTCACAGTTATATTTTGAATTTTTTTCTGGATCTGATAGTGTTAAGGTAGAAAATTAGAAAG